TAGCCCCGCCCCTTGCCAGGTGCCCCACCCCCTGGTCACCATCTTGGGACCAGTGTCTCAGGACCAGCACCAGTGGGGCGCAGGCTGGCACGGGTCTATGGAGCTGGGCTAGGCTGCACCAGCAGGGAGAGGGTGGAGGTGGCTCGACTCCTTAGAGCCCCTGCCGGCTGGGACACTGTATTCCTGCTGCACTGCTCTGGGCCCTGCTGGCGCTGGTCCCAGGACACAGGTGTAGACCCTGTACTCCCACTGACTCCCACACCGGCAGCCCCATGCAGGCTGTGAGCCGTTGCAGCACGGGGCGTCGGCCATGGGGCGAATGAGGGGCCGCTTTCCCACGCTCAGCACCAGCTTGCAACCTGCTCCTGCTGACAGCCTGGGCCCCGTGTCAGCTCCAGGCTCGCCTGTTAGGGGTATGCTGTGGTGGCAGCAGCTGCTCCGCGCGTAAGAAAGTCCCACCCCCCGCCCCTGCCCTGCTTGCCGCGCTGGGCAGTGTTTGCTACTGCCACCTCTGTGCTGCCCAGCGTACAAGCTCTGGGCGGGCAGCAGCAGCAAATATTGTCCGGCATGGCAAGCGGGGGGCTGCTTTTTCTCTGTGCCAAGCAGCTGCTGCTGCTGTGGCGCAACCCTGATAGGCGAGCCCAGAGCCGGTGCAGGGTCCAGACTGGCAGCAGGGGTGGGTTACAAACTGATGCTGAGTGTGGGAAAAGCGGCCCCCTGCCCACCCTGTGGCTGGTGCCCTGCACTGCAGCCACTTGCAGCCTGCATCGGGCTGCCTGTGCCTGCTTAGGACAGCCCTGCGCGGGTTGAGAGCAGCTGCACCAGGGAGCACTGGCCATGGGGCAAGGGGGGGCCACTTTTTCCTGGGCTCAGCTTTTCCCTGGGCTGTTTTTCTCTGCCCTCCCTCTTCCCCCCACCCCCGACTTGTGGCTGCACCAGCATTGGAAACTCATGTTCCCAGGCCAGAAGCCCCTGCTTGGGCTTCCGGCTGGGGTGGGCAGGCCCTGCTGTTGCAGGAAACTGCTGGGCTTTCCCTTGGGTCCTACTGCCCTGGTCCTGTCATATTTGACAGGAACCAAGGACAGATAAATATTCATTTTCTACATTTTTAGGGGCCCCGCAGGCCGGGTAGAATGGCTTCATGGGCTGGATCTGGCCCACGGGCTGTATTTTGCCCACCCCTGCATTACAGCCATGTACACAGGTAAAGTCAAAACATTAAAGTTTAGGCACTTGTGCATTAAAAATATATGTAGAGGCCGTGTTAATGCTTATTTAGAAACTTCAGACAAAGCCAAACCTGCACTGTAGGTAGATGCTAACATAAAAGTTAAGTGTCTGACCCGTCTGTCTCTCTCTGCTACCTTTTGAAGCAAGATGCAGAGAGTAACTTGGGTCACTCTAGTTCTTATAGCAAATAATTCTGTGGTATTATAAAAAAGGTGTATTGCTTCTCTGTATTCATGTTTTATATGCAGAGCACTTTCATAACTTAGATTATTTCCTGATCGACCTCACTGAACTTTTGGCTTCTGGGTTTTAGTGTGTGGGGGAGAAATTAGCTTAATTTATGAAAGGTAATTTCTGTTAGGTCACTTCAAATGGGTGTATGTTGATTTAGGTGGAGCTGGGGACTGTAAGTACCCATGAAATGTAATGAGTCTTTATGGATAGGGTTGGGTGCACTTTTGGTGAAGGATAAATACCCAGTGTGGGATAGAAATATGTATGCCATAAGTTGGTCTTATACCATGCGTAAAGATAAATAGGTAATACTGACATATACTGTAGGTAGATATCCATGTATGTGCTGGGAATCTGTTCAGTAGTGGGTTTGCTGGAAGAGTATGTGTGTGTGTAGATTCTGGCTGAGGTGGGTTATCTCTTAAAAAGAGGAGGTAGTGTTTCTAGAGTGGTAGGCTGAGGCTCCTGCTGGAAATGGACATGCGGATATGGGGCCATGGGTGATACGAACTACGTAGGAGTTGTTGTAGTCAGCAACTGGTGTGTCATCCTCCTGATTTCATGTAGGTAGAGAAAGAAATGCCAGCTGAGACTTGTGTAGTAGGTAGTGTTGGATTTGCTTGGCATGTGTGGTGACACAAATATAGGTCGTTTCACCAGGTGTTTATGAAGTAGGTGTAAGGGGAGGAGAGTTTTATTTTAAAAGACTGTTCCAGTTGAGTCTTAAGCCAGTAATAAGCCCCTTTTTTTGTTCTGAGATGGAACAGTAGACCTCCTTTAGTTAGAGGTGGATAGCAGCAGTGAATCTGTGCTTGTTTTACCATTGTGAAGGTTTTCTTTGGCCCTATGTTGTGGTGATCAGTCCAGCATTTGGATCTATGAATTCTGGTATTGAAATGCATGAACAACAGAAACAGTTTTGTACTGGTCTGGGGTCATGGTTTCTTCTCCATCCCCTTGTTTATTCCCAATATAAAACCTTATAGGTCTTTTCATCTTCATAGTTCCCCCTTTTTGTATGGATCACTCAACACTTCGAGATATGCAAGAGAGGTGTTAAGATAAGGAATAAATGGAGGCAGAGAGGAATTCCTTAGAGCAGGGGTAGGCAATGATTTTGGCCAGAGTGCCAAAATAACCACAAGGTCTACCTTGTAAGGTGCCAGAGTGCTGGCATGCTAGAAAAACAAAGCCAGGGTAGGGAGTAAATGGGAAGATGCACTGCATGTTAATATCATTAATAATAATAAATTGGTGTGTTTTTTTTTTTGTTTTTTTGTTTTTTTTTTACTGTAAATACTAGGTTTCCTAAAAATTCAAAACCTGGTGACAATAAATAAAACTTCATACATTACCTTTGCTCTTGTGTATTCTTGTTTTGTTAAGCATATTTTGATGAGAGAGAAAAAAAGAAAACAGAAAAAGAAAGGGAAAGAGAAAAGGGAGGGGGGAGATCAGAGAAGAAAAAGAAGAAAAGGAAAAAAGAGAGTGGGGGGAAAATGGAAAAGGAGAGAGAGGGCGTCCCTTGCCACCAACCTCTCCCACCTTCTACTGGCTGCAGCTCGGGCCCACTGGTCCAGGGCAGTGTCCCGTGGAGGGAAGCAGTGACACCCCAGCAGCAGCCACCAGAGCTGGGGCACCCAAGCCTCCCTGACAGTCCCAGAGTACAGGAACCCTGGGCCTAGGGGCTGGAGGTAGGGCATGGCTGGGGCTTAGGCAGATGGGTGCCCTGTTCCACCCAGGTGGGGGCAGAACTGGGCTGCCAGGTGCTTGGGGCAGGGTCTCGGTTGTGTAAGGAGAACCAGGTACAGAGAGAGGTGTCACAGGCAGACTGGCTGGCTGGCATAGCTGGCCCTTTGGGAAGGCTGAGGCTGGGTGGGAAGTGGGGGCTGCCCTGAAGCTCTGTGGGCTCAGCCACAGCTGGCAGGTGGGTGGGTGGAGGCACCCAGCAGCACCCGAGATGGGACCTGGTGTGGCCCACACAGCTCCACAGGGATGGGTCGCAGCCACCCTGCCCATGAGGGGACGCTGCCTGTCTGGGGCAAGACGCTGGGCTTTGGGAGGCTCCCAGGTTCCAGGCTTGGCTTCCCTGCATGCCAGGCACAGCATGAGTGGGGCAGAGCCACTATGGTGCAAGGGCCCAGCTGTGGGAGTCCCCCGAGGCCTGGGAACAGCTGCCACAGGTAGGGCTCAGGCCCAGCCAGCCGGGATCCTGCAGTACAGAGGCCGCATGCAGTGCCTGCCCCGGCCCCGGCCCCTGGAGGGGAACTGTGGGTGGGCAAGGTCGAGCCAGCTGCGCTGGCTGTTCCCAAGGGCTGCAGTGCTCTGGTGCCTGGGCCCACCCCTGCACTGGGGGCAGTTTTGCCTCATTCTCACTGTGCCTGGTGTACGGGGAGGCCGAGCCCAGAACTGGAAGTCCCTTGAGCCCAGCATCCTGCTCCAGTCAGGTGGCATCCCCTTATGGAAAGGGTGGCTGTTTCATTCCTGTGGAGCAGTGTGGGTTGGGCCAGGCCCCGCCTTGGGTGCTGCTGGGAGCCCCTGCCAGCTGCAGCCCAAGGCTCCAGAGCCCTGGGGCAGCCCCGCTTGCTACCCAGCCCCTGCCTTCCTGGCGGGCTGTTTAGGCTGGCCTACCTGCAGTGCCTCCCTGCACCTGCTTCCCTGGACCCTGCCCCTAGTGGCCGGCCCTGGCACTTAGCACCCCCAGTGCTCGGCCCCCATCCAGGTGGGATGGGGTGTCCCTCTGCCTGAGCCCCAGGCTCGCTCACCTGCTGGGAGCCTCCAGCACAGCAGCCCTGTGCACAGTCCTGGCCCTGGCCCTGGCCATCGCCATCTGCAGCTCCCTGCCCAGGCTGGGCTGGGCTGGAGGGTACAGCCTGGAGACGGGGGGGTGGGGTCAGCAGAATGCAGACGGCGTCTCTGCCTGTGTTCTGTCTGTCCGTGGTGCTTGCCATGGCACTGGGAGGGACCTCTAGATAGGTTTTTTTTATTGCTTTCGATCAGCGAGGAGTTTGAGAGAGTTCATGTAGGTTTTGTTGTTTTGCCTTAAACTGTAACTTTTATAACAGAATGCACTTTTTCTCTAAGGCTCTTCTGGGTGGGGATACTAGAGGGGATAATTTGAGAGCTGGAGATCTTGTGACTTCCATCTGGAAATTCTCCTTGAATAGGCATAGCAAAATGTTCCTGAATCCAGCCAATCCATATCTAGTGTCTCCCACTTGTAACTAGTGCAGTATCCATCTGCCTTGCCTTACTCGTGCTAATTTGATCAGTGTCTGTCAAGAGTAACATGAATGTTGGAATGGTATTCTGACTGGGTGATATGTGATGAATTTCTTTGACTTCCCATCACAATGGGAATCCTTTAACATAGGATGTTTAAGAGTAAGGAAAGGGGTTGTTTGTGGATAAATTCCCAGATGGTGGGAGAGGACTATTATTTTGACATGGCTGTTAACTACAATTTAATTTTACCAATACGTATGACTGGGAGATGTGAACTCACTCTTTGTCTCTCTCCTTCTCTTTTCCTCTAGGAGGGCTGCTGACCTGTTACTCTGCTGCTGAACAGCATGCAGTCCTTTCGGGAGCAAAGCAGTTACCACGGAAACCAGCAGAGCTACCCACAGGAAGTGCACGGCACATCCCGGCTGGAAGAATTCAGCCCTCGCCAGCAGGCCCAGATGTTCCAGAGCTTTGGAGGAGGTGCTGGCAGTGGACGGCGTGGAGCAGCGGGGACCTCTGCAGCAATGCCTGGTGAGAGCTCTGGTCATCAGAGCTACCAAGGTTTCAGGAAAGAAGCAGGAGAATTTTACTACATGGCTTCCAACAAAGATGCTGTAGCAGCAGGAGGACAGCAACCACCTCAGCGCAGGCCGTCTGGGCCAGTGCAGAGCTATGGACCACCACAAGGGAGCAGCTTTGGGAGCCAGTATGGAAGCGAGGGACATGTGGGCCAGTTTCAAACGCAGCACTCAACCCTTGGGGGTGTCTCTCACTATCCGCAGGACTATACTGGACCTTTCTCTCCAGGGAGTACCCAATATCAGCAACAAGCTTCTAGCCAGCAGCAGCAAGTACAGCAACTGAGACAGCAAATCTATCAATCCCATCAGCCCTTGCCACAGGCGTCCAGCCAACCTGTATCTAGCGCCTCCCATTTGCAGCCAATGCAGCGTCCATCTGCGTTGCCTTCCTCTGCTTCTGGATACCAGTTACGAGTGGGTCAGTTCAGTCAACACTATCAACCCCCTGCTTCTTCTTCCTCCTCTTTTCCTTCCCCCCAGCGTTTTGGCCAGTCGGGACAGAATTATGATGGCAGTTACAGTGTGAATTCTGGTTCACAATATGAAGGCCATGCTGTGGGTTCCAGTGCACAAGCTTATGGAACCCAGTCTAATTTTAACTTTCAGACTCAGCCAATTAAAAGTTTTGAGCAATCTAAGATGCCCCAAGGTGGACAGCAGGGGCAGCAGCAACAGCATCCCTCACAGCATGTAATGCAGTACTCAAATGCTGCTACCAAGCTTTCACTTCAAAGTCAAGTGGGACAGTACAGCCAGTCTGAAGTCCCTGTGAGGTCACCAATGCAATTCCATCAGAATTTTAGTCCTATTTCCAACCCGTCTCCAGCTGCCTCTGTAGTTCAGTCTCCAAGCTGCAGCTCCACTCCATCTCCTCTCATGTCAGGTGGAGAAAATCTTCAGTGTGGGCAAGGCAACATGTCCATGGGCTCTAGAAATCGGATTTTGCAGATGATGCCTCAGCTCAGCCCAACACCATCCATGATGCCGAGCCCCAATGCTCAAGCTGGGGGCTTCAAGGGATTTGGGTTGGAAGGGTTGCAGGAGAAAAGGCTTACAGATCCAGGTCTGAGCAGCCTAAGTGCTCTAAGCTCTCAAGTTGCTAATCTTCCCAACACAGTCCAGCACATGTTGCTTTCAGATGCCTTGGCACCTCAGAAAAAAGGTTCCAAAAGATCATCATCTTCTAAAAAGGCTGACAGCTGTACAAACTCAGAAGGCTCCTCCCAGGCAGAAGAGCAACTCAAGTCTCCTCTGGCAGAATCTCTTGATGGTGGCTGCTCCAGCAGTTCAGAGGATCATGGAGAGAGAGTGAGGCAGCTGAGTGGCCAGAGCACTAGTTCAGACACCACTTACAAAGGGGGCAATGTAGAGAGATCCAACTCCTCACCAGCACAAGGCTCTCAGAATGAGCCACCAAAACTCAGTACCAGCCCTGCAGCTAGGGAAGATGTGTCTTCCCCTGATGGAAAGGAAGCCTTGGTAGCAGCAGAGGCTGCCCCAAAAGTGAATGAAAAGGCGGTTGGGGTGATTGTCTCCCGGGAGGCCATGACAGGCAGAGTAGAAAAGTCAGGTGGGTCGGATAAACCCACACAAGATGATGTTTCCACAGCTACCCAAGCAGCTCCTGGGTCCAGTGGATTGAAAGAAACTGGGCAAGTGATGCCACAGCCAGAGTCTCAAGGAGGGAGTAAAGGGAGTAAAAGTGGGGATAACAACACTAACCACAACGGAGAGGGTAGCAGCCAGGCTAGTCATACAATCCTGGGGTCAAGTTTTCCTGGTAGAACAGAACCTTCCAAATCTCCTGGCAGTTTAAGGTACAGCTATAAGGATAATCTAGGTGCTGCCATGCAGAGAAATATTGGTGGCTTTCCTCAGTATCCTCTGAGCCAAGAAAAAGGGGATTTTCCAGGGCATAGTGAGCGAAAGGGGCGGAATGAGAAATTTCCCAGTCTCCTACAGGAAGTTTTGCAGGGGTATCACCATCACCCAGATAGAAGATATGCTAGGAATGCTCAGGAGCATCCAGGAATGGCTGGAAGCTTGGAAGGAGCCATGAGGCCCAACGTTTTAATTAGCCAAGCCAATGAATTAACCAACAGAAGCCTTCTAAACAAAACCATGGGATCACTCCTGGAAAGCCCCCATTGGGGCCCCTGGGATAGGAAATCAAGTGGCACAGCTCCTGAGATGAAACAGATCAATCTGGCTGACTATCCTATCCCTAGAAAGTTTGAGGTGGAATCACAGTCTTCTGCCCATGAAGGAGGTGCACTATCAGAGAGGAGATCTGTTATCTGTGACATATCTCCACTAAGACAACTGGTTAGGGACCCTGGGCCTCACCCAGTTGGGCACATGGGTCCTGAGGCCAGAAGTGGAAGAGGTGAGCGGCTTACTCCTGGTTTAGGCCAGTCAGTCATACTCCCTGGTGGCCTGGTGTCCATGGAAACAAAGTTAAAGTCTCATAGTGGGCAAATAAAAGAGGAAGATTTTGAACAGTCAAAGACCTCAGTCAGTCTCAACAGCAAGAAATCTGGTGATCACTGTCATCCTCCCGGCATCAAACATGAATCTTTCCGAGGGAATGCCAGCCCTGGAGCTGCAGTCTCTGATGTTACTTCAGACTACATCTCCCAGCAAGAGAGCAGGTCAACCCAAATGAGGCGAGCCCCTGGCAGAATTGGAAGCGGCAGGGAAGGTATGAGGGGAAAATCGCCTTCACAGTTTCAGGATCTGGCTGATAAACTGAAGATGTCACCGGGCAGAAGCAGAGGCCCAGGAACAGATCTCCACCACATGAACCCCCACATGACACTGGCTGAGAGGGTCAGCAGGGGTTCTTTACACTCTCCATTTGCTCAGAACTCTGAAGGCCCATCTTTGGCTTCAGCATATCATGCAAACACTAGGGCTCATGCTTTTGGTGACCCCAGCCAGAGTTTGAATTCCCAGTATCATTACAAAAGGCAGATATACCAGCAACAGCAAGATGAATACAAAGAGTGGAGCAGCAGCGCTGCTCAGGGCGTGATTGCTGCAGCTCAGCATAGACAGGAAGGGGCAAGGAAGAGCCCAAGGCAACAGCAGTTCCTTGACAGAGTAAGAAGTCCCTTGAAAAATGACAAGGATGGAATGATGTACATCCAGGCCAGCTCTTACCTTGATGCTGGAGGTCAAGAAACTGGGCGCTGTATCATGGGAAGTGATGGTGCTCAAAACAAGTGCACCGAATTAAAACATGGTAACCAGAAGATGCAGCAACAGGAATCTGGTTGGGATCTGTCCCGGCAGACCTCTCCAGCCAAGAGCAGTGGTCCTCTAGGAGCAGCCAATCAAAAAAGATTTTGCCCTCCGGATGGTGATGGGCACAGGCGAGAAGAATCTACAGATTTGCCGAAGCCGAGTAATGCCATGATGAGGCTCCCTGGCCAAGAAGATCAGTCTCCTCAAAATCCTTTAATTATGAGGAGAAGGGTCCGTTCTTTCATCTCTCCTATTCCTAGCAAAAGGCAGTCACAGGATGCAAAGAATAGTGGAACAGATGATAAGGGGCGACTGCTTCCTTCATCAAAGGAAGGAACTGACAAAGCATTCAACTCTTATGTCCACTCATCTCAAGGCCAAGATGCTGGGAAGTCACTGTCAAAGGGCGATCCTTCCAAAGATCTTCCTATTCCTGACAACAGGAATTGCCCTGCTGTTTCTCTTACAAGTCCAGCTAAGACCAAAATATTGCCTCCACGGAAGGGACGGGGATTAAAACTGGAAGCTATTGTTCAAAAAATTACATCCCCCAACATCAGGAGAAGTGTTTCCTCCAACAATGCTGAAACTGGTGCAGATGCTGTCACTCTTGATGACATCCTTTCCCTCAAGAGTGGACCTGAAGGTGGGAGTGTGACCAGTCATGGATCAGAAACTGAGAAGAGAAAAGGAGAGACTGCATCAGATCAAATGGGGACAGCGGGCCAAGAAATGGTGGGTGAAATGTCTCTATCAAGACAAGAAGAGTGGCATGGCAGCGAAGATGATAAGGTCAAAAAGGAGACATCTGAAGTAGTTAGTGTTAGTAAAGAAGGATCAGGGACTAGTGTGGCCCCACCATCTTTGCAGAAGTCTGGTATACAAGGAAGATCTGACGCTTCTGTAAGTGGAGCTGGAACTCTTACCTTTTCTGACTCAAAAACAGTCTCCCCGTCTAATGTGTTTACTTCTGAATTGAACCCAAAGTCTGAAGAAAAAGATGGAGACATTACAAACATTTCACCCAAGCCAGATGGCTTCCCCCCAAAGGGATATTTCCCCTCTGGAAAGAAAAAGGGGAGGCCCATTGGTAGTGTGAACAAGCAGAAGAAGCAGCAGCAGCAGCAGCAGCAACAACAACAGCAGCCGCTGCCACCGCCTCCACCACCACAGCCACCATCCCAGTCATCAGAAGGTGCAGGTGGTGGAGAGCCAAAACCTAAGAGACAAAGGAGGGAGAGGAGGAAACCTGCAGCACAGCCAAGAAAGAGGAAAACTAGACGGGCTGCTCCCATTGTGGAGCCTCAAGAACCAGAGATCAAGCTGAAATATGCCACCCAATCTGTAGATAAAACTGACAACAAGAACAAGTCCTTTTTCCCTTATATTCATGTGGTAAACAAGTGTGAATTAGGTGCAGTGTGCACAATCATTAATGCTGAAGAAGAGGAGCAGAACAAGTTGGTGAGGGGTCGAAAGGGGCAGAGGTCCTCAACTCCCCCTCCTAGCAACACTGAGAGCAAAGTGCTGCCCACATCGACTTTCATGCTGCAGGGCCCAGTAGTAACAGAGTCTTCTGTCTTGGGGCATCTGGTTTGCTGCCTGTGTGGCAAGTGGGCCAGCTATCGCAACATGGGTGACCTCTTTGGGCCTTTCTATCCCCAAGATTATGCCGCTACACTGCCCAAAAACCCACCTCCCAAGAGGGCCACAGAAATGCAGAGCAAGGTCAAGGTACGGCACAAAAGTGCTTCTAATGGCTCCAAGACTGATACAGAAGAGGAAGAAGAACAGCAACAACAGAAGGAACAAAGAAGCCTGGCTGCCCATCCCCGCTTTAAGAGGCGGCACCGCTCTGAGGACTGTGGTGGGGCCTCTCGGTCACTTTCAAGGGGAGCTTCTTGTAAAAAAGCAACCACTGAGGGTGTCAGTGGCAGTGAAAAGACTCCTTTGGACTCAAAACCCCCGATGCCCACTTCAGAAGGTGGCTCTGAGCTGGAGTTACAAATTCCTGAACTACCTCTTGACAGCAATGAATTTTGGGTCCACGAGGGTTGTATTCTCTGGGCCAATGGGATCTACCTGGTCTGTGGCAGGCTGTATGGGCTGCAGGAAGCTGTGGAAATAGCAAGAGAGATGGTGAGTGCTGGAATTTACTAAGCATTGATGCTTGCAGTGTTTTATCTTTTGCAGCCAACTTCAGTCTGTTTTTCAAGCCATCGTTTTATCTATATGGGAGATCTTGAAAGAACACCCTTTTGGTGGAGGGTAAAAATTCTAGTCTAGTTCATTAATTATGAGTTTGGACTGAGATTTTTTTAAAGCTATCTAGGAAATTTAGATGCATGTTATCTGTTACGAGGTATTGATTAACTCTGTAGCAAATGCCATCATCTTTTATGTTATAAGATCATGAGAACGTTGGGTAAGGCACAATGGGTAAATCCTAAGAAACTGGGTAACCTGGCAAATCTTGCAATAACAAGGGGGAAGAAGCTGACACCTTCAAACCAGGCTAAAATTGCTGTAGCACACTGCAGTTCCCTTTTTGGCACAATCACAACGTCTGCAACATCTCCCCCCCCCATATCTTGCTTTTGCAGAGACCCATAACTTATTGTCTTGCCTTGCTTCTTCAGCTAACCTTTCCATTTCTGCTCCCTACTCTGGATCAGACCACATAGGCAGAGTTGGACTTCTCTCTAATTTTTGCTGCTTCAAATTCCCTCCTCCCTTGTTTGAATACTACTATGTTGTATCTTTGCATATCTTCCTTTTGCTGCTGACATATACTATTTCCCTGGCTCCTCCTGATAAACTTTTTTTTCTGTGATGATACTTTTGACTTCTGGGGCACTCTAATTCTTTTCTTAGTCTCCCGGTCATCATCTGTGACTTCAGCATCCACATTAATGACCTATCCACCCCCCTAATTGCATGTTTCTTTGCTTTCACTTCTTCATTTGACCTGCAGCCTTGCTTCTACTCTCTCCCACTCATCAAATGTTTGTTTTTTTCACTTCACTGAATGCTACTTGCATGCAGGCCTTCCACTCTGCTGAGGTCCTCCTTTCTGGCCATCCCCTCATCTCTTTCAGCATCTCCAAACAGCTTCTTGTGCACAATTACCCATCTGCCTTTCTGTCACTTTTAGTTTATCAGCATGAACGACTTCTTGTCTACTCTTATCCTTCTCCTCCCTACCTATTTCCCATTTTTCTAGTGCAGGCTTCTTGATTCTCACCATGATCCACTTTTCTACATCTATAACTCTTTCCTATTGTGAGGTCCCCTCTACCAACCCCCAGCCTTAACTCCATCCCAGCATCTTTCTTCCTTTTGGGATACAGGTCTAGGAAAGAAATCCCTGGACTCAGTTGATTTCCTTCACCACATAAATCCTCTTTCCTTCAGTTTTTTGTTGTTTTCCCAACTAAACTACTTTACTACTCCATGTCCACAATCTTGGATCCTCTGGTCCACAAAGCTCATGTCTGCCATCCCAGGTGTGTTTTTGCTGTCTTTGATGTGGCTTTCCCTGTCTTACAACCCTCTTCTTCCCTGTTATAGACAGAAAGACTTCTCTTCTACTTTCCCCCTCAGATCTCTCCAACCAGTCCCATCTTTTGATCTTCCTGTGCCCTGTTCTTGGGTAATCATGTCCATAGACACATTTGGTCACTGTCTTAGTGCTGATAACTTACAAAAAATTGCCTTTAATCTGCAGACATGTATCCTTCTGTTTAAATTTTGTCTGGACTCTGACATCTTATGGATGTTAGGTGGATGTCCTTTTGCAGCATCTGATGAAGTGAGCTACAGCTCATGAAAGCTTTTGTGGGGGTGCATGTGTGTAATACTCTCACAAAGCAGCATATATTCTGCTTTGGTTAGTCTATAAGGTGCAAATCTGTTCTGCCTTCTATCTTCTCATGCACGTTAGGTGGTCATTTCAAGGTCAACACAGAGCTCTGTTTTTGCTTTCCACAGTTTTTCTCTGTGGAGAACATGGCTGTTTTGTTTGTCACCTGGAGTCATAAACGGGGCCAAATTTTCTGGCCAGATCTCTCTAGTATGTGGCATCTAGATTGAATGTAAATCTTGCCAATTCCTACTGCATAACATTGCTAAGACATGGCCTATCATTATCCATCCACATAAATAACACGTTCATCCAGGCTTATCCTTTCATGTCTTGATTACTACAACAGCCTTTTCTCTGTCTTTGCCCTGCTTATACCTGTTCAGAACACTGCTCCTTGGCAATCACTTTGACCACATCACTATTCTTTGCATTTTTCACTGTATCTTCCTCCTTTATTACATGACGCTTCATTTGCAGTGCCCTTCACTAACTGTGCCTGCCTTGTCTATCATCTGTTGTTTTCTAGACTGCAAACAGACATTGCACTTGTCCTGGGATATAATGGTTCATCCCAGAATAAAGTGCAGTTGTGGAAACATCCATGATCGTTGTGCCAGGATAAATCCTAAAAATGTTTCCTGCATAAAAGGTAGTAACTGTTTATCCCAGGATATTGTAAAGTATGTCTGTACAGTTATGTTGGGATTGAATCATTGGCAAAAAAAGTGGTACTGCATTCAGCCATTCACTAAACCTTGGTTAGAAGGGCGATGTGTGTACATGTCAATCCTGGGATATTTTTGTTTTGGAATAAATACAGGCACAGCTTATCCAGAGACAAATACAGTGTCTGTTCCTGGCTCTGTTGAAATAAAATCTCTGCTCTTAGTGTTCCTTTGTTCAGTTTTCACCTTTCTGCTTTGTCCCATGCAGTCTCTTGTGTTTTGGAAGAGTTCTTTAAACACCTGCATTGCTGCTTTCTTACAGCTTTCCTTGCTGTACTATCCATGGAAAACTTGAAAGTGGTTAGGCTGCTGATACCCTGATATGGCTCCCTGGCATCCTGATTTGCATGTCTTTTTTGTCCTTTGTTTCTCTCCCATTGGTCTGCCTGGTATGAGACTATATGGTGTCTAGCACGGTGTGTCCCTGGCTCATTTCTGGGCTTCTTAGTTTTATGGTAATACAAATAATAAACCTTGCCCCTCAGCACTATTGCCATTTCTAGGATATTTTATTTTCCTTAACAATGTTAGTTTTTAACCTTTTATCTTGGCATAGTGAAGTTTGTAATGCTAAATGGTTCTGTGGAAGCAATCTGTCCTCTTCCATTCAGTAAGGAAATGGTTACATTTAACAGAGAGTTATACCAGCCACAGGCAGTCCTCAGGCATTGGAAAGGCTCAGTTGAACTAGACTCTATTTTACCTTGCTGCCTGAGGACAGCCTCCCAGCCCAAGCAACTCTCATCTTAATTCCATGCCTGGTGCGTGCAATCTTTCTTTCCCCCCTCCTTGCTCTGCCAATGTATTTTCTTACTGTCACCTCTGACGTCCAGCTCATCATTCTTAGGGTGCTGGAAAAGGTAAACATTTGCAAGCCATCTTGCTGTTTTCAAGCAGGAGAGAGGAAGATAGATATGAGTGCATGTTCAGGGGCTTGCTTTCAGATCCAAACTGTGGTTTTTACTTTCCATATGACAATGTCACGTTTAAGGTCATGAGCCTCTCTGAAAGGAGCAATTCATGTCCGTGCCATGTTGTATGTCATTGTATTATTTCTGTACCCTAAAATCCTGATGGCCAGAGGGGACACAATCTATTTAACTTTTAGATTTTATAAAAATAGGTTTGTCTATGTGGAACAAAGCTTTGCGAGAAGTTTTTTGTTTTTTTTTAAAAAGCTTGCTTTAAAAAGGTTCTCATCCTTCTTGTCGCTTTATAACAGTGGAGGCCAAGTTTTTTGGCAGGCATGCCACAAATTAGCCTCATACCCTCAGAGTGGCACTCTGATCCCCTTCCCACTCTGCTTTCTGCTTCCTGCCCTATAATCCCTATCTGGTCTGCTGCTCTGCTTCCTGCCCTTTCTGCCAGAGACTATGCAGTGCTTCCATTTCTTGATCTGTGCAGCTCACACAGTGGCTTATGTGCCACTTGTGCCACAGGTTGGTCACCTAGTTTATAAAATACCTTCCTGTAGAAGTGGCAGTCTTGGCCTTGGTGACGTGAACTGTTTTTAATGTAGTAATTCCTCAAACTGTATTCCAGAGACTAAAGGTTACAACAGTCTGTCTCTGTGTCTCTCCTTTTGTACCCAAGTAGTCACTAGACCAGGGGTGGGCAATTATTTTGGGCGGAGGGCCACGTACTGAGTTTTGGCAAGCCATCGAGGGCCGCATGATAGGCAACCAGGGGCAGATACATATTAATTTTCTAAATATTTTAGGGGCGCCGCAGGTTGGATAGAATGGCCTGGCGGGCCGCATTTTGCCCACCCCTGCAGTAAACCAGTGCTTTTCTCCACTATACCATAGGTTAGGATGGGATTTTTCAAAAGTTTCAAACTTGTAGTGGCACAGGTTCATTTTCTTGTTAACTGAGATGTGTGCTTCTGAGTTATTTAGGTGCTGTTAGAAATGTCAGCCGTATTATGCTCTGTAAATAGCTTTTAGAGTAAAAATACAAAGGTATAAATCCTTTAATATTTTTGGTAGTTCTGATAGTCTGCAGTCATGGCATATCTTTTCTGACTTGCCTATATTTTTATGTTATAGTGGTCTGGTATGGAATCTACCATTCAAGAGGTGTTTCTTGTTCTGCTCAATGGGCTGTTTCTGACCAATGTTGTGTGCCTACACTTAAGGGGAAGAACACTCCACCAGAAGCTTCAATATCTATCTTTTCTCAAAAAAGCCTCTGAACAGTAGTTGTAAGAGTCTGTCTCTAAAATGTAGTCATATGTAAAAGATTCTGGAAGCATATGGGTTCAAGTCTTCCCTTTAAAAAAGGTTTTGCCAAACTATGAAGTAAGCTTCCTTCAAAGTTTGCTCATGTTTCATCAGTCTAGATGCAGTCAAGGCATCCATTAAGTAGCTTTCCAAATAGCTTCCAGAGCCTTTGAATCTGCACTTAAAAAGGATGCCTTTCATGGCTTTATTTGTTGTCACTGTTCTACTATGTTTCTCAGTGAGGAAAAAGGATTATGTTAAGAGTGTGTCCTATAAGACATAAACAGACTTCAGATCAGGGGTGGGCAAAATATAGCTTTCGGGCCA